GCACCTGCGAACCTCTCTGACAACCGCAAGAAAATGGATCGCGCTGTGAACATTGCAAAATCGATCGAGACTTTCAATGGCTGCCATGCTCCTCAACACAGCGGCTCGTCCGTCGTTTTGGAAGTTTTGGCCGGCTGGAAAGTTGCTGCTATCTCCAATTTCTGGCAAGCTGATGCCCTTGATTCTCTTCCCGATATCGCCTATATCACGAAGTGGTACAGTTTTTATACGTTATTTAGATCAAAGTAGTAAGATGTTGGTTTAATACACAAAAAAGCACACACAAAAGATGTAGTTGAAGATGTGCGCCATCGAAGTGAAGCTATAGACTTAGGATAACGGGTGGGGTTAGAGTCTGGTGTAGGTCAACGATCTCAATCTGAGTACTTATGCTGACAACAAATCGATTTCTTATTTGGCATACATTCGGATTCGCTCTTCTATCGAAGTCTATAAATTTCCGAAGTCGAATCATTCAACTTGACCACCCACAGGCATCGTGGCAACAGGGAGCAGCTCGAAAGCTACTACTTCTGTGAAGAAGAAGAAACCCCTGAGGACGAGGATGTGGATTTGCAGCCGGAAGTGCTTCGCCTGGTGGAAGGCAAGCGCGAGTCCATGGCCGCTTGGTTTCAGCGCATGCTGCTTGACGTTGGCGTCAAGCCGTCCGAGGTGGCCGACAACTTGACCGAGTTGCTCAAGGGCTGTGGCCAAGATCTTCGTGAAGGTTGTGATCTTTGCATCTCGCACGCGAAGCGCGAGCTTCTCAAACTGATGAAACGTGCTGTGCTGCAGGCTGCGCTTGCGTCGCGCTTGGAGCGCGCCAAGAAGTTGATCCGCAAGGTGAGCCACGACATCTTCCTCCAGAAGTACGCCCGTGAGACTCCAGCTGACGCCAACGACAACAGCGTCCCCATGGATGTTGGTGCTCTTCTCGGCGGTCAAGGAGGTGACGATGGTCATGATGGTGAAGGCGGACGTACCAACAAAGACCAGGCAAAGGCCAATGTGGAGAAGGCGCCGCTGTCTTCCCCGGCGAAAGACCGTGCTCAGATCAAGCAGGAGCAGGCCAGCCCCAACGACGGCATGACCGGTGGTGCTACCTCGAGCGGACACAGCGCACCGATCCCAATGCTGGAGGTGTCTCCGAATTTGGCGAATGCCACTGGTCTCAACCTCCTTGGCATCACCCCGGCTGGAGATAACGAGCTGAATCTCTTCAACTTGGGGGAAGGTGCTGGAAACAACATCAGCACGCGCATCAACAACGGCGGCAACAATGGTGATGGCAATCCGGACGGTCAACCCGACCGCGCTCGCTACGAACCCTGTACGGTTGAACTGGCGCTGGAATTGATTTTGCAGGAGTTTCTGGAGTACAAGCGTGGTCTGGTTGAGTGGATGATCGACTGCCATCTTCGTGAAGTCATTACCAGGCGCGAAGCATACGGTTGCACTTTTATCCGCTCTGAGGCGTTGTTGCAAATTTCGGACGCACTCAAACCAGTCGGGCAACGCTTGAAGACCTTTTGCGACAAAAGCCACGACCATCCACACTACTTGGATTTGGGTCTGTACGCCTGCCAGATCTGTTTATTGGTCGGAACCCCAGCACTGAGTACGAGCATCGAATGCAACCAGCAATTCCTCCAATACCTGGAAAATTTACGCACGGACTTTTCGAAGGGATTCAGCGAGTACGCTCTTGCTATGGGAAGACTCCAGGACGCTTACGTCGACAAGTCCAAGGGCCGCGAGTCCATTGGCAACGAGAAGGAGGTCAAGGCAATCACCGTCCTGCTTCGTCGCCTACCATGGATGCAGTTCGCGATGTCTGTGGATGTATTTCGTTTCTCTTTATGTGTTGATAAACTCACTTGCATTCTTTTGCCTTTATCTAAAACCATGCGTGTACATTTTCGGACCTATTGTATACCTTGTATATACTAGTGGCAGTTATGATTCATTATCTACTCTTCAAGTAAATCCAAGAAATATCAATTACCTCAAATATCAATTACCTAGCGGTAGTTTTTAATCATATCATAACACTTCTCCTAGGTGGAAGCGCTTAGTGCTTATTTGGAAAACCCCGCCGAGGTCTGGACGTTCAACAAGCTTTCCGCTGTCAAGTCCTGCGCTCACGTTTGCGTCGACGTCTGGAAGATCTACGACAAGCATTCTGGCAGCACTTCCGCCCAAGTTGTTCTTCCTCCAACCGTCTCGCTTTTGCCGGATCGTCTGAAGAAGTTGGGAGCGAATATCCCCGAAGGCGACAACCTTGTCGATGGTTCGTTTCTAAACTGCAAGACCCACACCGTACTTATCTTCGAATGTTGTGCCTTGGATTTTGATTTATTGACATAAACTTCAGGATCTACTTCGACTCAGCTCATCACCTAGAGGACTTTCTTTTTCCTATAAACCTAAAACCTATGGGGATAAGAAGACTCCGCTTATTAGTTCCTTGGGGTTTGCGTCATTTTCTATATGAGTGGACTACTACTCGAGAAAACTAAAAGAAAGTCTTCCGCTTTTGCATAAGAAGGAGCATTGTAATCCGCATCAGCATCTTCTCGTATAATCAATTCACACACAGGAATCGTTCCTGCATTCCGCCTTCCATGTGATTGGTGGGCCCGAAGTCCTGAACCTGCGCAACTCCATCCTGAAGAAGGGAGCTCTATCCATGGCGACCATCGAGAAGAGGAAAATGATGATCGACACGTCGTTCAAAAACTTGCGTCCTCTCAACGAGCAATGGTTCACCAACTTGGCTGACGACTTCAACCGCATGACGAAGAGCCTCCTACAGCAAGCATCTGCTCAGCAAGAAGCTTCTTCGTCCTCGTCTGCGAACACGCAACATCGCGCGAAGCGTGCCCGCAAGGGCTTCTAGTTGGTGAAAGCCGTGTGAAGTGAGGAAGGGAAAAGGGGTGAGGAGATGAAGGGGTGAGAGAAATGATGAGAGTCTTAATCGTAATCAATCTTGTCTGAAGGTGGTAGGACAGGAGTTATGCAGGCGAGACGAACAAGTGGCGAGCAGACCTCTACTGTTGTTTGATTTCCATTTAGCAGTAGGGTAACACATTTAGAATAGAATGCGAATCACCCATCGCTGCGTCGCAACAGGTGCGGCGTGTACTTCTTTGATTTGAATTCTTGCACTGTTGAGTATTCCTCGCACCGCATAGCAAACGTGAACGCAAATACTTCACTGATGTAATCTACTAGGAGTACAACCTCAGCAATCTAGTACAGGTAGCATGAATCAGCCAAATCGTGAGAATTGTTGTTGGTTTATTGTTAGAAATAAAAGTGAGGGGAGTCTTGGTCTTTCAATTACGGACAGAATACAAACACACTTCAACGCAAAGACTTGCGAGCTTCGTCCTATAGGATTGACTGACTTAATGTCTATGATCTTGGCTAGAGATACTCGGGCTGGCGCCTCCTTGTATCTCTAGCCCATGCTGGTACTCAGTCGCAGATGTTAACGAAAACGAAAAATAATTACACGATGAATGAGTAAGAGTATTTATTTTTGAAGTAAATTCATTTCCATGCTTATGATGATTTAGAAATAAGAAAGGAGGCAAATCTGATCGATACTCTTCATGCTGGGCAGAAATTCACGGGGTGCAACTACTACTACTACAGTAAAATCATAACTATAGTGAGTAAGGTCACGGGGTGGCGTCACTAGTATACAGCTTTCACGTCGCTCGGTTCTGCGCATACGAACCTTCAGGCTAGGGAGGTACAATAGTCAGCAACAACATGACAGCAAAAAGCTTACTATGTAGAAAAAAAGGGACTCCATGGATATTCCTACTCATGGGGTGCAGCACGGGGCGAGTGCTAAAAGCTTACGGTGGTACAGTTCACTTCTGCAAGTATATCAGTCGCATACGATGCATCAAGTTCAGCAATTTTGAAAATTTATATCTTCATCAAGTCACGCTGTGGGATGTGAAAGAGAAGAATCAAGCAGAGGAGTACGCGCAGTCATTGCTGTAAGATCGTCTAACAAACTTCATTTACTACAGCAAGGTAAAGCTTCGAAGTATTTAGAGAAAAAGTTAGTCTTTTGCGAAAGCGCATAACTCAGCACGTCAATACTTAGAGTAATGAATTGAAGGAATTCCCTATGATCGACTCTATTTTCTATTCGCACGGTATGACGTGTAAGCCACAACTAGAGTCACCGTCTTCCTTATCTACATGAAAGACATCAAGAATACGCGCTCGAATTCTACTACGAAGGATATCCGACGTAGCTACCTATCAATAATTCCGATAAGATGAATATCTAGTAAGTAGATATAGACCAGGGCATGCTTCGCCATACTTGCAGCGACTTCCTCGCCAGGGTTACCGTTACTGGACTTTGGTGAGCAGGAAGGTGCCGCCTCATCTTGTGAAGCATGTAAAGGGTAGAAGTAGAAGCGTAGGGCGAACGGCAGCGCGCAGATGTCATCATCACTTATCGATATCTAGTTGTACGGCTCGCAAGCTGAACTACAGAGCTTGTTCTAATGAGCAAGATCAAAAGGGAGAAAGGGACTCGCGTAGCGCAAGGGGATACGCGTTTCGTTTCTAGCTCTAGGAGTAGGAGGCACGCATATACTCTACCAGTCGCATGAGAACCTTCTTTATTTCGACAGCAGCAGGCAAGTCCAAGAGCTCTGACATGCTCAGCGTCTGACGGCGAGGATCTCGCTGGCAGCACTGTAACGGACTGCCTTCCTCAATGGGGAAGGAGGAGAAGTAGACAGGCGACTTTTAACTTATGCTATTCGTGATATTGTGTGCAGAATATCTTTCATGTGTAAGGGCAGGGGCCAATAGCAACACGGGGCGAGAATCTGAGATAGTGGGACAGTGAACGCTCAAAACGTTTGACACGAGATTCACAGCATATTGGTATACTGTGGAAGGAAATGATAGACAACATGGAAAGAGATAGTTAGAATCGCCCACGCGAGTCCACATCTAGAATGAAGCTCGAGACTTCATATCTTTCGGCTTCCGTTGCAGCAGTTAGAATCTCATCTATTGATCTCGTCACGAACTTCATGCATCTACCATTATCACTGACAGCCGGCATGGCAAGAAGGAAGACACTGAACGAGTGTCGTGCTGTTGTGCACTAAAAAAAGACGCATCACTACACCAAGCAGAAACAAGAAGAGCTCTACGATGCTGATCGATCGATCGATGATCGTATTCGCAGCAGCTGAATAATGAAAGATACTGAATTCAAACGGGTACGCTTCACCTTTAAGCAGCAAATGCAAAAAAACAAAGTCCAAGATCTTCCGGGTGGAAGATATGGCTGCGCTCTCCTGCTGTAAGAGACGGCCGCAGCGGAGTCAGAAGGCAAGAGATGTAGACGTTCTTGCCCATGGGATAAAGAAAGCAGTAGAAGAAAAAGATAAGAGTGTAGCTTTTCTTTCTCGCTGGTGTTTGTCTCTTATCCTGATTTTTATTCGTCTTCCTTGATCTTGGTCGGTCTTCTAACAGTTACAGGATCGCTCTGTCGCTCATGCGTTTCAGGATCTGTCAGCATCGTGTCGGGTGCACGGAAGAAGAGGCGTACGAGCAGAAGCAAAACGCAACGCCAACAAAAGCCACAGAGAAGTCGACCACGGAGGAGACAGAGGAGGTGACGATAATGATGTCACAGCTGAGAGTTGCAGAGGATGAGGGAAATCCGTAGGCTGAAGCGAGAAAACGCGCAGAAGTGAGCGAATGCGAGAGCGTGAGCGGAAGAGAAAGTCTGAGAGGTCTAGGACCCCGCTCGTTAATTTAAGTCTTTGAAATAAGAATGCGCTCGATCGTGTGCAAGTGCATGTGGTAGCAGTTGTAAGCCATCGGTAAGATCCTCTACCTTATCCTGTGAGTATATGGATATAATGCGTTCTGTATTTGTTGGCCATTCTCTGCAATTTAATTCGTATGATCCTTCTCCGATTTTCATAGAATGACTTGGCAACTTGTCGAGTGAGATCGCAAACAGATGGCATGGGTCTCGTCGGTTCCTGCAGGCATGCAGCTAAAAGCATTCCAACCACCTACCCCCGGATCTTTTCTTCTTCCTTTCCTTAATATCTTCCAGCTGCTCGATTCTTTAAGATCTTTATACATCGAGCGTTTCGGACTTTGCTGCGGATTTTCAGAGATGCATAGAAACAAAACCTGACCAATTTCGCAGCTGATGCCATCTGGCAGCAGAGTCTGATGGTTGTGGTGTTCTTTTTTTAATTACTTACTTTAATCTTTTTGGTCTTGTTTTTTGTGTAGTGAAAAGCTTTATTGATTTTTTTTCCTAAAATATGGACGCCGTTTGGCAACATTTGGGTTCGGTATAACTGACTTCAATGCCAAACGACTGCTCTCACTCGTCACCTTGATCGTGATCAATACCGTTCCTTGTCTTGAACTCGTGTTAGTTCCTCGCATGATCATCGTTTGAACTCAATGAGTTCCAACGTGAATCGTCAGTAAGATCTTCCAGATCTTTAACTGCATTAGGACCCATCATGATACCCCAATGACATTGAACCCATTTTGATACCATTTCGGGGCCTTAGACAGTCAGTGATCATTCGGCGCGTCCGTTCTGATCGTCTTTCTGTTACATTGCAACGATAGTCATTCCATTTGCTCTCAAGAGCCTCATAGTGCGCTTGGACGTGTTCGGGTGTTCCAACACTGTTTCAAGCCCTTGAGCCTTTACCTTATCAAAGAAATTGTTAGTCAATTCATTGTAGAAGTAGAGAAAACAAAGTCGCACTATTTGCGCCACAAAATGCCCGATATGAGTCTCGGAGAGATTTCACCCAAACTGGGGCAGAAATCTGATTGGCGTGACTGGCTTCGAGCGGTAACGCAAGAAGCAGACCGCCGGGACCTAGTCCAACACCTCAGCAACGTGCTGAACGGCAATGCAGCAGGGGTTCCGAACCAACCCAACAACAACGACCGCAAGCCCCAGCAGAATTGGCGAGATTTGAAGAATGTGATCACCAAGTCGCTCAAAGGTGCAGCCGAAGCACATATGAAGGATCAGGATACCACTGTAATGAACGCAGGTGAAGTGGTGACAAACCTCCGTGGCGCTGGTTTCAGTCAAAATGACCGCACAGAGCAGCGAGTCTCTGCTAAAGCGTTGGACGGGATGCACTTCACAAACTGTGACTCCCCTCCAGACGTTCCAACATTCCTGGCGAAGGTTAGAGATGTCATGAACCAATCTCCGACCGTCTATCCACCGGAAGTTGGTGTGGCTATTGCTGATCAACAAAGCGGAGCAATCCTCGACATTCTGCCTAAAATGTTTCCCAAAGCATTTCGACAGACAATCGAGAGGATGCAAGAAGAAGAACGTCTAACGTTCGTCCAAATCGGTGAAAGACTCACGAAACGACTTCAGAGTTTGACTGACTCTGGTGAGTACAAGATCGAGAGTCCATCTTTCGGCAAAGCTTTCCCAGCTGTCGAAGATTCTGATGACGAAAACCAGAACAATACCAAAACCAAGAAGCGTAAGCGTCAAGATGAGAGCGATGACGATGGTAACCGTAACGCGTTTGCCGCTCTCAAGAAAACAACGATCAAACGACTTCGCAAGAAGATTCGCAAAGAAATCAAGAACGAGGCCTACGCAACAAAAGGAAGCGGAAAGAGTAGTAGCAGTAGTTCTAGTAATAAGAAGAGCAAAGGAAGTGGCAAAGGTAAAGGTGCTAAGAACTCTAATCCTAGTGAGGGTATCCAGTGCAACTATTGTTACAAGTATGGACATAAGGCGCAAAAATGCTGGCTAAACCCGATGAGTCAAAGCTACCAACCTAACAAAGCCATGGGCAGCAACTTCTTCAACAATTCACACAACTGCTGGCCGCAAGGTAACGCTATCCCTCCGTGGCACCAGAACAGCTATCCACCGCAACAAAGTGGAGGAAAAGGATTCGACAACAGTACCCCACAACAGCAATGGGGTGGACAACAACCACAGCGCTGAGTCGAAACCAATCCGGAATGGAATGGATATGGGAAACGAGATGGACAGTCCCAAGATGAAGAAGAATCTGGAGAAGATTTCGAAGATGAGAATGGAAGATGTTCGCTGAACTTTGAGGAAAACTTGGAGAGTAAAGAGTATAGAAGTGAACTGCTTTGGGGTGAAAGCTATATGATTGATAATCGCGCGAGTTGCTATCTAAGTGCAAATAAAAGGGAAAATAGCAAAACAGTTTCACTTGTCGACAGTTGTGCAAGTAAGTACTTGTCTAGTCATCGTTCTGATTTTAAGAAGATCAGCTACCGGCTTTGTCATATTAGTGGCACCGCTGGAAAGCGAAGCGGGAACATAGGTAGACTGAAAGAAAACAAATTAGGATTAAAATATGGCGCACACTTTGAACACCTGCCAAAAGCCATAGATCGCATTATACCGTGGTTAGGTGAAGGAAACTGTCATGGGAAGGGTTGGCAGATGAATTTCACAGAAAGTGGCGGAACGTTGTACATACAATACCCGCTCCGGCCGCTCTCTACCCATAACAAATTGCCCCCAGATGCAGTTACCTAGTCTAGGTTGTGACATGTTTAGCAAAGAAGAAAACGAAACTGAGGAGGATATAGTATGTATGAGTATAGAAGAAGCTAGACTTCACTCACAAGCCTCAAGATTAGACATACATCGTAGACTTGGCCACTTTCACGTCGATGGCCTTGGTGTATCTTGTCCAGAATGTGATCGAAGCAAAGGTCAAAGACGCTCTCACGCAAAAGTGGGACCCACTGGACATATACCTTCTCCATTGAAAGCACTTGCAATTGATTTCGCAGTTGGTATTAGACCAGTACCTATAAGAAGCAAGAGACGCGCTTTAGTCATTATCTGTGATTCGATCAAAATGTGTCGCGTTCGTCCTCTTTGCCTTAAGTCGGACTGCGTAGAGGTGATTGAAGAAGTAATAAAAGGCATTCGCCAGGACTACTCATTGTCACTCGACGACAAGGCGGTATGGTTCATCCGTAGAGATAGCGAACCCGTCCTAAGTAGTGACCACATGACCAAAGTCATGCAATCGCTACTGGTTTCGGAAATTCCTGGAGTTCCTTACAGCCCAGAAATGAACGGAACTTGCGAACGTTTCATGCGGACCATTTTCGGTGCTGTACGTACCACGTTGGTCAAAGTCGACCGACGTCTTTGGTGTTACTGCCTACAGTATGCCGGAGATTGTTGGAATCGCTTACCGCATCGCTATGCAAAAATGCCAGAACATGACGGAAGGAGTCCTGTCGAGATACTAGAAAAGAGGATAGGCAAGAAGTCCTCGAAAAGTGGTCTAGGTATGTTAAGAGGATCTGGCTGTCTGGTGTACTTTCGTGAACAGGTCGTAGACACCACCAACAAGAAAGAAGCAAAGCTTGCGTCACCTTATCGGCGTGGTGTGTTTCTCGGTCTGTGTCCAGTTTCGTCTGGTTGGCTAGTAGGTACATATCACAACGATGGGAGAACGAAAGCTGGCTTCAAGTGGAGTGAGTATTCCACACTAGACGTAAAATTTCGAGAGTCGATATTAGTCAAGAACATTGATTGGCTAATGCCTACGTCGAAGGGCATTTATGTTGATTATGACCCGCTGGAAAACCTGCAGTCTGGCACGCCGTCGCTGGGTCCCGTCCTGCACAGACATGCGCTGCAACGTATGGCATGTCAGCCGCGCTTCTCTGGCACGGAGTACAGCTCAGGCGATCCAACCGGCATGGAAATGATATTAGATAACAATGACGCTGATGAGTTTTTCTGTCAATCTTTGGACAAAGAAGAAGATCCAAAGACCGGCGATGATTCCAACTCTGACGCGCAACGCGTTGAGGAGGGGGATATCTCATCGGAGCGTGTGTCGCCTGACTCTAATCCTGAAGCAAGGGATCCGAGGCCCTTACCCATTCCACCATCTCAGCCAGGCAAAGTTGAGGAGGGGAAGAAAGGCCGAGGAAGACCTAAAGGGAGCAAGGATAAGAATCCAGGACAACGCAAAAGAAGAACAAAAGCCGAGCTAGAAGCATTAAGAAAAGACATGCATAAATTTGCCATGCTAGCAGGCGGGCATGAGCTGGAAGAAGGGGAGACCTTTCTCGAAGCACGTGTCATGCTGTCAGTTTCCCAAGCCTTGAAAAGTCTTGACGCCGAAAAATGGCGTGCAGCTATCACCAAGGAGGAAGCTAGATTACTTGCCTTCGAGACTTGGGCGCCAGCTACTGACGAGGAGCTGCGAACCTCTTCTCAGGTAATGCCTATAGCAATCGTTCTCACGGTAAAGCGTGATGGAACATTCAAAGCTCGTGCTTGTGTGCTCGGGAATCTTGATCGTTCGGGGAATATCGACACCTACGCCCCTGTAGTGTCACACGCTGCGAGTAGACTTTTACTCGTTTCAGCGGCGACAGAATCTGACTTCGTCATCCCCTTCGACCTTGATTCAGCGTTCCTTAATGCTGAACTCGATCGCGACGTCTTCTGCCGTCTTCCACCCGTGTGGGCGGAGAAGCATGGAGCGGATATCGTCAAGCTTAAGAAAGCTCTATATGGGCTCAAGGACGCTCCACGAGCCTGGTTCAAGAAGTATTGCGTGCTATTGTCCGGACTCGGATGGGAGCCGTGTCCTTCTGCTCCAGGATTGTGGCGGAAAAAGAGCAAAACGCACCCAGGAAAGTATACGAAGATGTCAGTCTATGTTGATGATAACTTAGCTACTGGACCTGACTATCATGAGTTACGGCCCGAGCTCGACCGGGTCTTTAGTCGCGCCCCTGGCCGACCTATCGAGATGGCAAAGCGTTTCGATTCTCTTACGGGTTTCGAATGGCTAGAGTTCGACTTTCTTGGTGCGATTGTGCACTATTGTCGGGAAGCGCGTTCAGTGAAAATCTTGATGAGTGTGCACATAGAGAAGACTTTGCAGAAGTATAAAATAACCCTAGGTAAGCCGGTGTGGTCTCCAAATTTCGACGAGTCTGCTTTGCTTGGGGAGGGGCTTAAGCTAACAGCCGGGCTTCCATTGCGTGAGATTGTTGGCGCACTGCTTTGGATATCGACAACCGCAAGGCCAGATATCTGCGTCCCTGTGGCGACATTGGCTAGGTATGTCAGTAAGCCTGTTACTGAAAGAATTGCAAAAGCTTGTAGAAAAGTGTTAAAGTATCTAGCTACGACAAAGGGCCACGGACTCTATTATTCCCCAGAAGGTGAGGAAGAATTCAACGAAATTTACAAGAAGCTCCTACCAGAAGGAAGAGAGCTACCGTATACTAACTGGCTCTCAGATGCAGGATTCGCAAACTGCATAAAGAGCATGCGCTCGACCAGCGGTTCGATTATGTACTATCGGGGTTTTCCAATCTGTTGGAAGCGCAATACCCAAACCGTGCGTGCGTATTCAGCTGCAGAGTCAGAGTATATAGCCGCGTCGGGCACTCTTGTCATGAGCGAGCTGCATGATTTTACAGATTTCTTCAATCCCTTACCCACTCAACTAGTGGAAACGCGGTTTGGTATATCGCCATCCCTCGATGATGCCATATTGTGGATAGACAACCACCCAGTCTGCAATCTCGACAGCAAAGAGCGAAGATACGAAGCCTAAAACAAAGGAGACGCTATGCGCTACGTTATTTAAGGGCTAGGGATGCAGCTGAGAAAGTCGCTTTCTGTCCTACTCACCTGATGAAAGCTGATGGACTAGCGCAACTCTCATGCTCATCCAATCAACGCAGATTATTATTACACCACATAGAGAACCCAGTAATTAGCCGTAACCATCTTGAAGATGATAGTGACTCGGAAGAAGAAGATGATGAGCTTGATTCAAGTTCTGCTTCTTTGGCGGTGCTTACCTATTCTATCTTCTTAGGGTGTTAGGTCGTTGGTCAAAGGTGATGTCAGTGGCTACACAGCGAATCGTGATGGTTCTGGGTCCGAGCAGGTAACGCCAGACCGTTTGTGACTTTCGTCATTTCCTCACCTAGCGACTGAGGAGGGGTGTTGGTCAATGGTCATTACTGGCTCAAGATCCAACGAATGAACCTGATTTCAATGCCAAATGACTGCTCTCACTCGTCACCTTGATCATGATCAATGCCGTTCCTTGTCTTGAACTCGTGTTAGTTCCTCGCATGATCATCATTTGAACTCAATGAATTCCAACGTGAATCGTCAGTAAGATCTCCCAGATCTTTAGCTGCATTATGACCCATCATGATATCCCAATGACATTGAACCCATTTTGATACCATTTCAGGGCCTTAGACAGTCAGTGATCATTCGGCACGTCCGTTCTGGTCGTCTTTCTGTTACATTGCAGCGATAGTCATTCCATTTGCTCTCAAGAGCCTCATAGTGCGCTTGGACGTGTTCGGGTGTTCCAACAATATGCCAGAAATAAGTATAACCATACAGATACAACACGGAAGAGAATACCGCTACTCGCGTTATCTGTTCACTAGATACGAACCAGAACCAGACTAGTTATTTTAAGAAAGTATTTGAAGGAACTACTTCTAGATATATTTGTGGCTGCGGCGGAGGACCACTGAGTCTAAGTCTGAATATACTACGACGAGAAAGATGTTGAAAATGAAATTGACAAACGCGAAGATGCATGCGTCTTGGGCACACATCTTTCGCAACCTGTTGAAGATGGCCGTCGCATCGTGGAGCTTCATCCACCTTGGGGGTGTGCTTCAGGGTGTGCACGCAGCTGGGCAGCTATTTCTTGACACGACGACATCGACAACAACTACAAGCAGTGCCAAGAGTCTTCAATCAGAAACTACGGCTGGTTCTTTCGACAGGAGGGACTACAGCCGTGGGAGTGAAGATCCATCTCCTACGTCGCCAGACCCTAGTGCCTTGACAGGCACAGGGCGTGTCGGTTGGGAAGACATCACACCCAATGAGGACATGCTGTCCAACGTGGGAGTTGGCCTTTCTCTTGCGGGAGCGGAAAGACTGGCGCCTCAGAGCAACGCAGAGGCTATTCTCGGAGCGATGAATGGGGGCAGTCAGGAAGTGGAAAGTTCTCAGACATGTTGCGAATTTGAAATGAGCATCGAAAAAGTTCCTGGTCCAAGCTCTGGATTCCTTACACCACGACCACGAGCCAGACGCTCAGAAGATGAAGTAGAACTCTTGCGAGTGGGTGGGTTGCCCCAGCAGCAAGAATTGCAGCCGAGTTTCCTTCGTGTGCAAGGTCGCCCTCACCTCCATGGTGAGACAGCACGCTCCTCCTCTCAGCAGCAAGAACTACAGACACAAACAGGTGGTGCTGTACTGCCACGCCTGCCAACTCCTGGCCTAGCAGCTGCGCCAACTCGTAGAGAAGAAAGTCGCCTTCTCCCGTTCTTTGACGAGCAATGGCCTCAGATGTTACTGCTTTCAAAGTTTCTCAATCCTCCAGATAGACTGGCGCTGCGTCAACTAGCCCAGCAATGTTGTGACCGTACTAGGGATGAGACTGCAGACGCAGCAGAGAACCAAGGAAACCAACGCGAAGATCTTCATGAAGATGGGCGACAAGGTCACGCCCTCCAACAAGATGGTCTACAAGATCTTGGGACTGTACGTTGCCGGGAGGCTGCTTTGTTTTGCGATGATATGGAACAGCGTTTGGGCCTGAGCGGTCCAATTCCTGATCAGGGTCCTGCCTATTTACCAGGCAATCCGCAGCGTGCGATCTTTTCGAGTGACGGACAAGCTTTGCATCCTGATGGTAAGCGAATGGCGTTTGAAGACGCGGCCGCCCTTTCCGGTCAGCCGGTTCTCTACGGTCGTCAGCCTTCACCTTTTGCTTCATCTGGATCTGGGCCATGTGCGTCGAGCCCTTTTTCGTCAGCTCCTCCACTACCATTTGGGTCTGGGTCTAGTCCGTTTTTATCGACTCCGTTTCCCTCGTCCAGTTCCACTGCTGCGATTGCAGGAGCTGCCGTTTACGGTCCGACGAGTGCTTCCTTGCGTACACTGCTGTCTCTCGCAGACCAACAGCAGAAACGTTTTGAGGAAGAGCTTCGCTCCTGCGTGTTAGGTCAAGACCAAGCGTCTCATCCTAGTCAAGCACATGGGGCTCGATCTTGGTCGAGCAGTTCGAGCGCGCCTCCTATGAACCAAGGTCCTCCTGCGGTAGCAGGTGGGTCGGCTGCTCCTTCTGTAAGTCAGGAGCAGCAAAAACGCTTTGAGGAACTATTCCTGAGAGACATGGGCGCGTAGGTAGTTTGTAATCAAATGTAGAGCTAGAGGTGGGAGCTAGTGGAGATGCGAGCTTTGTTCTCGTCGGGAAGGCGGGGTCGTGCAACTGCAAGGGCTATCGACTTTTGAGGTTAACGTGAAACAGGCCTAATCTTCTTAATGCTGTGCCTGATGTACTGTGTCGTGCGTAGATTGTCGTGAGAAGTTCAGAGTGTCGTGTTGGAAAAAAGGACACAGAAAAGCAAGATTGATATTTTTGATTGCCCCTGTCCTTCTAATGCAGGAGCGTGAAACTGTTTTCCGTGTTTTTTAGTCAATGTGTATGTGATTGATATCTTGCGACGTTGTGTAAATATGTTTTAATTTGCGCACAACAGTGGTCCACGCGCACCGTTGGTGGGGTAATACAATTAAGCCAGAAACGCAGGTATTAGAAGCTAGCTTAATTGTATTACCCGTGTCTTCTGGCTCTGCGCACTCGAGTGAGGAGTGCTTAGCTTGCTAGGCATACCCGCTCCTAACCATAAGTTAGCTACTGTATATCTCCCTCTATGACCTAGTGAGGCGGGCCATAGTGGGATGGACCCCCACCAGGTGCATTAGTCTTTCTTCTCGGGTCTGTTGCTGACTGCCGTACATGTATATAAGTTCCACATAAACATAGAAATTAGCTTCCACTTAGTGTCCCTCTGTCAGCCTGTTACTACACACAAAATATCTCTTAGAACTAGTCTACTTTGTATTAGTGCCTACCTGATAAGATCGTGATGAACTAAAATAACACACAGCTTGAAGCTATCACTAACGTAAGCTCGTGACTACACATAAGAAAGAGAGTAAGTAAGTTTTTACCTGGCGATTGGAAAAGGTTCCGTGAGTTATACTGTTCGAAAAAGTATCCATGTATTTTCGGTCGTCTTGCTCGTGTCCTAGGGTGTTGCCTTATGGCTATGAAATGTCAAAAGTGGTGGTGTGGTGCTGGGACTTAAAGTCCAGCGATGATGTTACTAAATTTCAACTTTGTTGTGAAAGCGATGAATTCCAAGGTGAGAATGAAGAATTTCAATCTGAGAATAAGACGAATTTAAGATCTACTTGCCCTCGTTCTTGATCTATCTGGCTAACTTGTTATGTGGCTGGTGGTGGGTTATGTGAGTATTTAACGTCATGCTTTGACCGTACGGCTCTGCTTCTGGTTGGTGGTGGAATAGATAAATGAGTGAATATAGAACGACTTCCGCACTGCACGTTCATAGTGAAGCTTACCACGTTCTTTCCATGTTGTGTGTACTTGTACTTTCAGTTTCATCTTCCTTGTTTGTATTTTTATTTTATTTTCATCTTTATTACTTGTGGATGGTGGTGGTCGTGTTTATTACTACTTTTATATATAAATAGATACTTTCATTTTCCTTTGGTTTTGACTACTCACGTAAATTATGGCTGGTGGTGGATATTATGAATCTGACTATATGGATTCTACGTGGCTGGCGGTGGCTATATAAGTGAGTAAGGATCAGCCATTTTGTTACCTGTGTAATGCCTATCGATCGGCTTTCCCCTTTGTGTGAAAAGTTTGTTTCATATTATACCTGACATTTGCGTGCACCTCTCGAAAACTCCTCCATGGTATTCATATGACGGCGATAACCATGATAAATTCCTTTAGGCAGCAGAGGATTGAAGCTACTTTTGTCCAAACGAGGCGTAAAAATGATTGACCTTGTTTTCGGCTTTCTGGTCGTTGATGAGAGCGAGAATGTCATTAGAAGAATGGATGAGAGCGATCGTATAACGTTCGTCGAGTTGCGTTTTTGTGTTAGTTGTTCTTTGTGTCGAAAAGGTAGTCAAGCGAAGTTCTTTGTGTCGAAAAGGTAGTCACTTCTCAGCTTGTAGACGTTCTTACTTAGGGCTCGGGTCTGTCGTTTGCTTGGCGCCGTGGTCCGACATATCCAAGATTAAGATTAGTTTGGTTTCATATCCAGAGATAGGGGACAAGTACTACATCGCGCAGGTTGTATATGGATGTGGTTTGCACCAGATACTTACCTCTCATGTCACGTGAGGCTTACGGACTCGTGGTAGAGTACCGGGCTAACGCTCCAGAACTTAGAAACACGCATAAAGGTATAGTGGATGGTGGTGAGGAGCACGAGAAGTACGGCTAGACATGTGCATGGGATTGTAACACTGAAAGAAATCTGGATAGGCCAACTTATTTGCAACAAGAAAACGATCAAGGTTTCCGCATTGCTTAATCATACACTAAAGCAGGATTGATGCTCATCTGCCTTCGCTGTAGCAGTAGCGGTTGGCTCTACTTCAGATATGGGCTTGCATCAGTGTGCTCATCTTGGATTTTGCCCATCGGTAGTTCACGTTGAGGCTGAGGGAGCCAGTCAAATTTTATGGTAGTCCTCTAGTGATAATCATATTAATTTGACGGGCGAGTAAATCGGTCGCAGTTGCAGAGAAAGATATGGATGACGTAGAAAAAAGGCCTGCTTGTGAGTCGTGTCCCAACCATCCCTAAAAAGTAAGAGAACCACCCGCCTCGTCCTTCGTAAAATTTGAATTGGCCACGACGTGAAAAAGAGACCAAATTAATACTCCGTCCTGCAATTGATGTGCTGCATACTTACGCGATTTGTCTTCTGCAAAAGTGAAGGAGTAGGAGCACTGCGAAACATCTTCAGGCCAGAGCAGCACTACTTCAATGCAAAAACAAAAAAGTACGGCTATGGCCCCTCCGCTCGACTACAGAGAATTTGGGTTGATGACAAGCAATGGCACGACGGCACCAAGTTCCACATTTGCTGCCGGAAATGCAAAAAGTGGAAGTTGGAATTTGAAGAAAACAGCACCACCCTACTGCAGAGATCAAAGCGGGTGGACATGATGAGGAATCACGAAAATAGATGCAAAAAGGCGACGAAGTGAAAAAGTGGCGGAGATGCAGCCTCTAATTAAAAGATCTTACACCCCACGAGTGGGCACATCTATCTATCTAAAGTGAAAAGTGACAAATTGAAAGAGCGATGATATGATAGCAGCTCTATTTTTAATGCAAATCAATGCTTTCCTTGTTAGTTAAACGCGGCTATAACAACATGAAGTGACATCGACATGAACTGATATCTTTCAAGGGCGAAGCGATGGCGCTAAAGCGGCCCTCGTCGCGACCGACGGCGTCGTCGTAGTAGCTAGCACAAAGCCAGCTGGAAACCTCTGATGAAAAATAGGAATACCACATGACAACTTAACACTTAACGTCGAGAGCCAATTGTTAGTACAACTATCATGTTGTCAGCCAGCCCCACCGCCCCTGACCTCGAGGGGAGACGCAGGCAAATTGTGCGGAAGGTGAGGGAGAGACTCATCATTACACGTTTCGGCTACACTCAGCAGCACCTTCGTCAACAGTAGAACGTGGATCAACTACATCAACGACTCACGGGGATTGCGAACAGCACGGAGGAGCGGCGACTACAGTAGAACGTGGATCAACTACATCAACGACTCACGGAAGAGCGACGACTACTTCATCCTCGTCTTCATCGTCTTCGTCCTCGTCTTCATCGAGCACTGACGTGCCGCATGATGCAAGGGACGAAAGGAAGATGGACAAGATCCTCATTGTTAAGATGAGTATGACTATTGAGTTGATAGCTGCTTAAAGAAACTAAAAATCATAGTAGGTCTAGTTCAAGTTCAACGTTTTTGGTGTTGATGGTGGACAGTGTTGTTCCTCGTGCCACTTCTAACTTCCTGTCCGACTCTGAGAGGAGGAGAGACGTTACTAGTTCAGCCGAGATGGCTTTTCATACAGTTGTTGAGTCTGGTCTAATATTTACTACCACCATGCGCAGGAGACCCTGTAGGCAGGGACCAGATCCGCATGGTCCTCTTTTTTGCAGCAGCATACTATCGACCTTCGAAGAAACGTCACTTATGACAGAGAGTTTCGATCTTCCTTGATGTCGATGCATACTGTGAGTGTCCTTGTTGCTGCAGGTTCGAAAGCGTCAGTATAAATGATTTCCACCAATCATGATTTAATAGAAGAAAACGCTTTTCATTTTCTCTTTATCGCACCTCGCTCCTGTCACTCTCACTCTTCTATCGAAGATTTACATTTAGTTGTTAATGCTTATGCTTACGCCGTAGTATCTATAGTTGCCTTGAGCGCATTCTTGAGGCCAGATTTGAGCTTAGGTCTGCTAGATGAACATCGCCACTATATGTATCTTGGAAGAAAAAAAATTTTATTGACAACTACTACTACTTCTACTAGAATCAACACGAAAACAAATTCTCAGAATTTTCGATAAGAAGAACTAACTCTAACATACAACCCATTTTTTATGATTACGACAGACAAGTGGAAGCAAATCGAAATTCTGTATTTCAACTCCAGTTTCTGACTCTCAGGAAGTATTTTCCCATGTGTGTTGAAGATCATGCCAGAGGAAGGACCACCTGTGGTCGACATAGTTGTTACAATCGCGACCACCTGTACCAGGAAAAATGAATATCAGGTTCTCGCAAGTCCTCAAGTTCACAGAACACTGCTTCTAGATTCTAGTCATCATAAGACAGAAAGTGGCTAGATTTCGTTCTCACGTGAAGACAGACCGTGACCGAAGTGTTATCGTTCTCAGCCTTGCACTGCACCTCCTTGATATTGTTATTGAGCATCTACCAGCAACAACTTTTTACTTCTACAAGAAGCAAGCAGCAATTTGCACCACCTCCAAAATTGGTGTCTCATTGGACATCGCCACATGACACATCAACACTCTTCTCGGTAAACTATGAAGCTTTTTATTTCCTTGGTATCATGCCCTTCATCGGCATGGATTGAATGTGTCTGTATGGGGCCGACTGAGAAGATCTGCGGTGTTTTCCTTTGACTATCTCTATCATCATGATCATTCGATTTTCGGAAGATGGTGGAGAAGGAGAAGGCTACCGACGAGATCTGACGGATTGTTATCTCTATTGCCTTTGACATATTACTATTTCTATTTATTACTATTCGATCGCCTTTGCCACACGTATCAGGCGAAGATGAAGCTTCCTGCAGGCAACATTGTTGCCGCAACAACTCCTCTGATGCGTAATAAAAGTTATCATTATAGTCTTCTATTTACGCCAACTTCTGTGTCAGAGTTCGTGCTTATTTTCATGTACTGTGACCAACTGGATGAAGTAGTTGTAGACGCTATGAAGAAGACAAGACTGTGACTACTTTGATGAGGATAATATCATGACCATTCATGATTTTGATTTCCTTGCTTGCTCCTAGTACTCTTTCTCTTTGTCTGTCATCATCATCTTTCACTCTAAAATAGAATATTAATAGTACTCGTCTTCATTGTAATCATGTAACAACAGTAGAATTAGACGCATAGTTCGGGTACGACTGCGGGTACTGGGTACTACGGAGAATTATACAAAAAAATGACGGCAGGCTTGTTCCCGAATTTCGTTTTCGAACCTTTGTTCGCTGCTGCGAGGAAAATCGACACCAGCTGGACCGGGATGGATGTTGATGCAGCTACTCCATCATCACCTTCTTTGAGGCTTCCACAAATCCATCCTGAAAGGCATCTTTGGCACATTTTGAAGGGGAAAAAAGGTCAAAGATGTACTTCAGGATGAATATTTGGAAGGTCTAACTCTGTCTTCATCATCCCCATGTGGAGGTAGTTTGGGTGGTCGAGACCGGATAAGAACATACGCGGGCTTCTGGGAGCGGATAATCAATAGGAATGCGAACTACAAGAAGAGGTTCAATATTAACTACCACAATCACGACGGGTCGTTGATCAACCCGAGAACTAGAAGGGCTTCCACTTCCTCTGGAGGAGGTTGCCCCTGGACGGGACCGACACTTCTGAACCTCCGTGGAAGTTCCTCCAACTCCGTCTTTTGTGAAGGGCAGAAGTGCAAAGCGGTAGGCATCGATCTGGGAACGACCTTCTCGTGTGTGGGCTTCTGGGATGGTGATGGCGTACAAATCTGTACAAATAGCGAAGGCAATAGGACGACGCCATCCTATGTCAGTTTTGGCGACGAACGATTGATAGGAGATGCTGCTAAGAATTTATGGAGTACGTAGAACGAAGTCCTCGAAGGAATGTAAACAGGAATGTTGTAGTAGAGAGGGGGAGGAAGAAAAATTGAATGTACTTATACTTAGTAGAGAGAGGGGGAATGGAAAGGGGGTGCAGCTGAGGGAATATCGACTGGTTGTACTTGTGCCGCTGCCTCTACTTGTTTATTAAAGGGTTTTTCGCCTTTAAACAACCAAGCTAGCAGAAATCCTACAAACACCGTCTACGACGCAAAGAGGCTGCTGGGTAGGAAGTTTACAGACGCGGAAGTGCAGCAAGATCTGAATTATGGCTTCTAGTGAATCACTATAAAAATCCCATGTAAAAAGCAGGGTGAACTACTATGTTCTCGAGTGGTCATCTTCCCTGGAGCGTGGGTGCTGAGTGGCCGTGGAGTGAAGTATGCTGGGTGGTCTTCCCCTTGTTGGCAAAGAAAAGAGGAAACACTGCAACTCACTCACGGATACAACTCACTCACGGATAGTGAGGGATAGTGAACCATGTGAAAAGCTACTAGCGCTAAGTGAAATTGTGGCCTTTTAAAGTGGTACCTGGTGGCACAGACGGTAGCTGTCAGATTAAAGTGACGCATCAAGGGAAAGAAAAATTGCTCAGACCAGAAGAGATTAGCTCGATGGTATTTCTATCTCTGTTGGGACATATTCATACTTCTTAATACACCAGAAGACGAAGAGATTAGCTCGACCTCGATAATATTTCTACTTGGGGATACTCCGTATAGTTATACTGAAAGACCACGGATGGGGATGCGGATCATGACAAGATGAGACAAGTCGTGTTTGTGACTTACTTCGACCACATTAACACTCGTGGACTAATCGGGCCCCGCTTCACCTGTGATACAACTACGGTTTTTATCGATCATGTTAGCTATTCCTCTATATAATACTTTCGAACCTCTACTACATTTGAAAATCATCAAATTCGAAACTTCCTATATTCTCTCATTCAGGTCCTTACCAAAATGAAGCAAGTTGCCGAGGAAGCGTTAGGGGATAAAGTGACGAAAGCTGTCATTACGGTCCCAGCCTATTTCTCCGACGCGCAGAGACAAGCTACTAAGGGAGCGGGTCAAATTGCCGGCTTGGACGTGTTGAGAATCATCAACGAGCCGACCGCAGCAGCATTGGCTTATGGTTTAGACATTAGGAAAAGGTTCATCAGAACATGATCATTGTTCGTTAATTACAACCTTTAGGAAAGGTTGTGCAATGAATTCCTAGCTTTTGATGTAATCTAGTAGTTTCTAGTTTGCATTTGCCGCGGTGTGGTGGACCCTCAGCCTTAACCTCAACCTTGGCTAGAAGTTGTATGTAATGATAATTAATACAAGAAACCGGGGTCGCCCCTTGGGCGACCCCTCCTTGATAACAGCACCGTCACAGGCACAGAGTAGAAACATAAGAGAAAGCAAAAAAAAAGCGACTGAGGCACGGAGCGCCCGCCCCTTGGCCTTGGCGGCTGCCGTCGAGATGATGGAGAAGAACAAAGACCGAAGCAACCCACGGAACCCAGAACCCTTGCGCGCGGAATCAATTAGGCACGCCACGCCAATGAGACAGGCCCGGCGG